TCCTAAAATTATATGGGAAGGGAGGAAAACGGGTCCGCGACGTAGGAAGTGGTGAAGGAAGTAGTCATGGCGAGCTGTCCGGAGTGTGGGAACTGCTTATGACCATTAGATTAAGGTATTTGCAATCCTATGATGCTATGGGAAGGGAGGGAAACAGGTCCGTGACGTAGGAAGTGGTGAAGGAAGTAGTATAGGCAAGCAGTCCGGACTGTGGGAACTGTTTGTGACGATTAGATTAAGGGATCTGCAATCCTAAAATGCCATGGAAAGGGAGAGAAAAAGGTCCGAGACGTAGGAAGTGGTGAAGGCAGTAGTCAAGGTGAGCTGTCCGGAGTGTGGGAATTGTTTATGACGATTAGATCAAGGTATCTACAATCCTAAAATGCTATGGGAAGGGAGGAAAACAGGTCCGCGATGTAGGAAGTGGTGAAGAAAGTAGTAAAGGCAAGCTGTCCGGAGTGTGGGAACTGTTTATGACGATTAGATTAAGGGATCTGCAATCCTAAAATGCCATGGAAAGGGAGAGAAAAAGGTCCGAGACGTAGGAAGTGGTGAAGGCAGTAGTCAAGGTGAGCTGTCCGGAGTGTGGGAATTGTTTATGACGATTAGATCAAGGTATCTACAATCCTAAAATGCTATGGGAAGGGAGGAAAACAGGTCCGCGATGTAGGAAGTGGTGAAGAAAGTAGTAAAGGCAAGCTGTCCGGAGTGTGGGAACTGTTCATGACGATTAGATTAAGGGATCTGCAATCCTAAAATGCCATGGAAAGGGAGAGAAAAAGGTCCGAGACGTAGGAAGTGGTGAAGGCAGTAGTCAAGGTGAGCTGTCCGGAGTGTGGGATCTGTTTATGACGATTAGATTAAGGTATCTAAAATCTTAAAATTCTATGGGAAGAGAGGGAAACAGGTCCGCGACGTAAGAAGAGGCGAAGGAAGTAGTAAGGTGAGCAGTGCGGAGTGTGGGAACAGGAAACCGTTTGTAGCAGTTAGATTAATGTATCTGCAATGCTGAAATGCTATGAGAAGGGACGGAAGCATCCCCACGACATAGAAAATAGTGAAAGAAGTAGTAAAGGCTAGCAACGCGGAGTGTAGGGAATGTTTGTGGCAATTAGATTAACGTATCTAAAATACTAAATTGCTATGGAAAGTGATGAAAACAGGTCCACGATGTAGGAAATGGCTTAGAAAGTAGTAAAGTATGAGCATAGTGTGAAAACCGTCTGTGGCAGTTAGATTGATGTATCTTTAATCAAAAATTCTATGAGAAGGGAAGGAAACGAGTCTATGACGTAGGAAATGGTGAAGGAAGTAGTAAGGCTTGCAGTGCAGAGTGTGGGAACTGTCTTTGGCAATTACATTAATGTATCTGCAATCCTAAAATGCTATGGGATGAGAGGGAAACAGGTCCACGACGTAGGGGGTAGTGAAGGAAGTAGTAAAGGTGAGCGTGTTGAATGTGGGAATGGATTAATGTATCTACAATGCTAAAACACTTTGGGAAGAGACTGTAGCACGAATCGATACATATTTCGATACATGCAATTGCTTACAATAGAAATTTACAACTGAGTTGACAACAGCTGATTTTTACTCCATAGAGGCTTAAAACTATTTTGACTTCCTAAAGAGTAAAAATGCTACTTTAGACCCGCAACGCATGCATTAAAAACGACTGTTATTACTGCAGTATGACCAAAACAATACAATATAAACCCTTGATGACTCCGCTCAATTTTGTGGATGCCTCTGCGAACGCCACCTAGTTATTGAATCTCTTGGCTTTATACACGAGTGTGTCCGAAAATATTCGTGCTCAACTTTTGTTTATATGGTGGTGCATCAACACCCCTTTTACATGAATTACTTTATAACGAAATCTCTATAGTATAAACATTGCAAATTTATAATTTTTTGTTAACGAAAAAAGTACACTGAATGTGAAAGGTTAGTTGGATTACGACATTGAAATTAAACACAAATAATACATTTAACTATTGTCAACGCTGGCTCTTACAGTAAATAGTGTTATTTTAAACTGTTACATACTGTGATAGAGATTATGTATTTTAATTAAAAGAAATGTATATAGTAAAGCTTAAATTTTAATGTCTACAGCGTATGTTAAAACAAATAATTATTTGCGCAGACTAAAAATATTGGGCTTTTAACAAGTTGAGTTTCAAAGATTAGAGTTAGCTTTACAGTAGGCCTTTCCGTTTACAGTACTTAATCACGTTTGGTGTTTTTAAAAACTGATATCTACAAATAGCCTAAGAATTAAATTACCTATTCTTGTATAAAAAAATAATCCACGAATGTGAGACTGTGAGTGCATAATCTGTTGTCAAATTAATATGAAGTTGTAGTTGATTTAACCTGTACTACTATTTTCTATCTGAAGGAAACCTGAGAAACCCTCGCTTATGATTCAAAATTTTGCGGCTTGTTTGTGAAGTACTTACTTGTTTGTGAATATCTGGAATGCGGATATTCAGGGGTAATCAGGAAAGGAAATATACACTTACAAATTTGAGTTTTCCCAAACATTTACTTGGTGATAGAGAAATATTGAATTATCGCATGGTTTCGACGGAGACAGTCTTTCTGTCTCAATTAAGTTCCCTCTCGGTAGAGATCAATCCTTCCATTATCAATTATAGATGTACCTACTGCTAAGGTGGGCTCAAACAACCGAGTAAAGACGTCATCAAATATTTCCCTAAAACGCGAAATACATCGGTGATTGGTGCATGGGTTTATAACCTGAACCTTCATGACAGAAATCCTACGCTCCAAGTTGTAGTAACAAAACCAGCCGCGTTCCCATGATATTAAACTAAAACCTTTGCGTTTTGAGCTAATCTGACATTTAACCCATCCAGCATTAGGCCTAGCTCTTTAATAGCCTAAACGAAACTTTAGGCATTTAACTAAGTTAAATATGAAAAAGTTGGATTGGAAAGAAATCTTAAAATCAATCTTGTACTTTGCCAGAAATATGAAAACCCCTAAGAATATTTTCATCGGGGATGCAAATATTTAATACATTTTATTTTAGTTGTAATCATCATCGGAGTTCTGAGTTGTATTACGAAAATTCATAGGAATCTAAATCTTAATTAGAGTATGCATAACCTAATATATGCATTATTGCACCATTACGCTTAGTTACATGTTTACCAATACAAGAATTACATAAGGTTTCTAATGAGATTTTACGTTGTAATATTTTGCGTTCGGCTTTGTTCGCTGATTTGTGAAACTTAAGTAAGAAGCTCATAAAAGAATTTGTTACTGTCATTGAGAACTGATATCAAACAAAATATACATACAATAGTCCAAATTTAGCCACAAGATTAAACTAATAGACCAGTTTCGTGTACACACTATACAACCTTTTATTTGTTGTACATTTCAACATCCAACCAACCTCATTGTGTTGGTTAACCTAAGGAAAATTTCATATAACTAACGCAAGACGAAATAGCTACCTACTCAACTCAATAGTCTTGCATAGTTAAGTTCAGGGGCTAAAGTTGATCTCAATAAGCATGCAGGTGCAGTTATATTATCTATATACTATTATACAGGGTGAATTTTAAATGAGTTCCCCCCCTACTTTTTTCTACATTTCTTAAGATATCAACTTCGGACCACGTCAGATCATTGTAGTGTAGTAAGTACTTCATTTTGACTGAATAAACATTTTTGGCCGCCATCTTGGATCCGCCATATTGGATACAAAATTTTTTTTTCAAATGTAAAGGTAGGGTTGTGACCCATTGTTTCAAACTAGAACTTTACGCTGATTACAACGCCGCAATTAGTTTTAAAAAATCTTGATCCGTTCTAAAGTTATGAGGACTTTTTATAACTTTATTTTTAGCCCATTTTAACATTGTGCATTTACCAACTAAGACCATAATCTCAAAATAGTACTAGATAAAGATAAGTATACACCACCATTCATGTTTTGTTCAACTGGCCAAGTCAGCAAGGGTTTCCTTCGGAACAAACTACAATTGTAACAAGCTAGACTAGACTATTTACAGTAAAGCACTCGTTCGTACCCACGTAATAGTATATTTTTCATAAAAACCACTAAAATCCCCTCAATGCTTTAGACTATATAAGCACTAGTTCGTACCCACGTAAAATATATATTTTCCTAAAAGACCACTAAAATCCCCTCAAAGCTTTTCTCTATGGTTTACCAAGATGCGTCGATCTCAAATACGTCCGATTGAACGAAATAATAGCTCGTTGTATATGATTAAATATTGTATAATAAATGTCCCTTATAATTATAGCTCTACTGTATATCTAATATTGTCTGCATATAATTAAGGGATGGGGTTTAGAAAATGTGTACGTACTATGATTTTAGATTTGTTGAACGATTTTTAGCACCAATCTTGAAAAATGCTCGCTTTAAAGATTGTAGAACTGTAGATTTCCGTTTTTTAAGTTACACATACTTTAATCAAGCTGGTTGCTAGTTTTGTAAATTATACTTCACACGCACTTCATCCTTTTTTAAGGGGTTATATTTCAAATAGATAACAAAAAATATGTCTACGTAGCAGCCACATTAGAGAAAAATCTATTCATACAGCAAGGTGATTATTATTGCATTCACGGATTGTAAAAGAGTCTTCTAGTTCTAGTTACAGTTGAATCATATTTTTACCCATAAAATATTCACAAAAATATGGTAGCCTAAATATAAATGAAAAAAGTTGTGATCGATTCTATTTGATGACGCATTGAGTGAATTTGATGTACGATTTTAATATTGAGTCTGACAATGATAAGTGTTCAATAAAAACCACTTACCAACATATTGGTCCTGTATTGGAGGATAAAAATGTAAAAATTGTTGTGTTTGTGTACGTTGTAAATTTGCAAATCTCTAAATATATTTTTGGAATGAAAATAAAAACGATTTTTTATAGACAAAAAGATGTCTACAACCTTGTACTAGACTTACGACTCACCTGGTCTGCAGTAGCATTGTGTCTGGTCGAGACCTGGGGCTGTAGTGTACAATGTACAGAGTGGTGTACAGTGTGGTATGGCGCGGTGAGAGGCGCGAGTGACCAAGGACCTGAGACTGCGCGAGACACTTTACCGGACACTGGTCTAATCGTCACTTCCACATATTACCATTATATTACCTTACAGTGAACCACGTGGTGATTCATCGATGGTGATCTGTCTGAGGTGATTGAAAATGAATCCGATGCACTGATGTGTTGAACGGATTTTAAGTCGGTGACTTGCGCTAGTGACATGTAAAAAGGTTTGGCTATTTGGAAAGGAGTGCCAATATGTTGAAAATTTGAGAAATTCAAGACACACTTTCATTTACATTAAATACCTAATATAGGTTTAAAATTACCGAAATAACAAGAAACAAATTGTAAAAAAATCACGAAATCTACAGAAAACCGGACAGAACTAACAATAAAATTGGCTTCAGCTGTTCCATAAGGATGGGAAATCTACTAAGGGCCTATGTTTGGTACAATGCTGATTGAAGAATTGTTAGATTGTGTGGTGATTTGCAGGTGCATTTGCTAGTGTGATTTTTTGGAGGATTGTCCGTTAGAGTGGTTAGTTGTTGTTGCTGAGTGGTTAGTTGTTGTTGCTGAGTGGTTAGTTGTTGTTGAGTGGTTAGATTTGTTGGAGATTCGTTTAATGGTTAGTTTGATCAGATCAGCTGACTACGACACACTAGGAGGTATAATTCGAAGATGATTATGATGGAGATGGTGAGATGAAGAGTTTTGCGCATGGTGGGTGGAAAAACGGGTGTGCTATTCGCACTTATTCTGACGTCACTCGGATTGCAAACAAAAGATCACCTGATTGTAACTGTCAAATTAGTATGTATTTGTTTTGATTTGATTGTTCTTGTTTTTATAATAATAAAAACAATAACAACCAAATAAAAAAAAAAATACATAAATACACATTTGACAGTTACAATCAGGTGATCTTATGTTTGCAATCCAAGTGACGTCAGAATATGTGGGAATAGCACACCTGTTTTTTCCTTCCACCATGAGTTTTGCGTGGAAATTGACACAGCGTTTAGAGGCCGAATCTTCGATGGTTATGTTGATTACGTGTAGATAGGAGATTTGATATACGATTTTTCAAGTCGTTGACGAGTGATCCAAGAAAAGGCTACAAGTCTGTGAGAATTTGAAAGATTAAAGATTTTCTGGGTGTTGACTGTTTTGTGGATAGTAAGGGGAAACTAATTTGGGTGTCGTTAAAGGGACTGAAAATGTATTGGAGGGGCGATTGGTTTAGTTGGGAGCTAAGGGGATATTCATTTGTTGAAGTAGTTATCGGTTATATAGACCAATCCTGTTTCCATCTTTAAAAAAAGGGTATTGGGGGTGAATATTAAATTTAATGTAGTGGTGAAGTTTAGAGTACAAAATTATTTGTTGCGTCATTATTTAAACTGCTTATTGTGAAAAAGCAACTTTTTACATGTTTATGCATTTTTGTTCATCGAAATTATTAGTCCAGGACCTGACTAGGGTTCTGTGTGCATGTCGTGTATAGAGAATTTTGCTTTTGCATTTCAATATAGGTGTCTTAGGAAGTGTTTTCCACTCGGGTGTCAAGTTCGCACCTGGTACGTTTTCGAGCTATGACGTCATCAAAATGGCGGCCATTGATTTTTTTAAATCGCATATTTCGCAAACTATTTGTCGGATCGGAATGAACTTTTTTTGTTTGAAAGATAATTTTAAATGCTACCTGTTTTACATTTACACATTTGTTGTATGTTTAGTACATTCTTCGTAATTATGCAAAAACCTGTATTTTTAAATATTTTTGTGTTATTTTTGTTTGTAACGTTTTATTGATACAATTTATCAAAAACCACCAATGAAAAAAGTTGTAGAACGTTTAAAAATCTTTACAAAAATACCAAATTCGATATGTTTTACTCAAAAGATTACGTCAAGAAACTAGATAAATCTCATAAAAACACCGATTTTGGCGCAAAAACGCCTATTAGTCCGGCATCTAGGGCAGTTCGCAAGTCTTATAAAGACAGTTTTACCATTCAATGTTGATTTATGTGTCTAAATAAGTGTTTTCAACTCGGGTGTCACGTCTGCACCCACTGCAGTTTCCGGTTATGACGTCATTAAAATGCCGGAAAGGGCTATATTAAAAATAACTATATTTTACATACCATGTATCGGATCGGAATGAACTTTTTTTGTTTGAAAGATAAGTTTACATGCTATCTTTCTTACGTTTACACTTTTGTTGTATGTTTAGTACATTTTTCGTAATTTTGCAAAAACCTATATTTTTAAACATTTTTGTGTTATTTTTTTCGATAACGTTTTATTGATACAATATATCAGAAATAACTTAAAGACAAAGTTGTAGCACGTTAAAAGAGCTTTACAAAAATACCAAATTCGATATGCTTTACTCAAAGGATCACGTCAAGAAACTAGAAAATCGTACAAAACAACCTAATTTGGCGCAAAAACGCATATAAATCCGACATCGATGGCTGTGTACGAGTCATATATAGACAGTTTTACCATTCAATGTTGATGTATGTGTCTATAGAAGTGTTTTTAACTCGGGTGTCACGTCTGGACCCACTGCAGTTTCCGGTTATGATGTCTTTAAAATTGCTACATGTTACGATTTCACCAACTATTTTACTTAAAATAAGACCATTACCCTCTTTTATGCAAATAAAAACACAACAAATCAATTAATTAGTCCATTAATTAGTAATTAGTCCAAAGGAATGTTTCCATTATATAAATACCCCGGTGCAGCAATCCTGTCGACTAAGCGAATTTCCATTTGCCTGGATTGATTTTCAATTAATCTATTAAATTAACATTGTTTAAGAGTACAGTACCTAGGTTTTTTGAACGGTAAAAGTGTTTTTGAACGGTTATTGGTTAATGAGAAAATAAAAACATTTTTCATTTAAAATTCCAATGTTATTCTTATGGACAATATTGTAACTGTAGTAGTTGGCTTGGTTATGGATATATTTTGAACAAACTTGGCAGATTTATTTATCCAATACTAAGCTATTAATATTTTAATAAAAAATCCACTTTATTAGTTTCCCTTAAGCAGCAAACCTAGGTATTCTTAAACAATGTTAATTTAATAGATTAATTGAAAAATATCCAGACAAATAAGAAAAAGAATTAATTAATTAATTAATTAATTGAAGATATCCAGGCAAATGGAAATTCGCTTAGTCGACAGGATTGCTGCACCGGGGTATTTATATAATGGAAACATTCCTTTGGAATAATTACTAATTAATGGACTAATTAATTGATTTGTTGTGTTTTTATTTGCATAAAGGAGGGTAATGGTCTTATTTTAAGTAAAATAGTTGGTGAAATCGTAACATGTAGCAATTTTAAAGACATCATAACCGGAAACTGCAGTGGGTCCAGACGTGACACCCGAGTTAGGCCGGGGCCACACGACGCGGATCATCCGCGCGGACGGACCACGCGGATGATCCGCGTGGTCCGACAACACATTGAATCAAATGAGAGTGGCCACACGGGGCGATCCTAAGCCGCCTGGGCGGATTGTCCGCGCCATGTCGCGGATTGTCCGCGCGATCATAAGCCGCGTTGGAGGGGATGACACACGTAGTCTTATGAGAGTGGCCACACGATACGGATTGTCCGCGCGGTTGGAGCTCATTTTCAAGCATTTGTAGTGGTTTTTTGTTTAGTTTGTGCTTGTGCATTTCGGTTTCTAGGTGTAAAATGTTTGATACAGACAAATCAATAGAACTTGTTAAAGATCATGTGGGATTTCTCATGTTGTACATTTCTCATCAGTATATCTTTCTTAGTTATATGCGGTCAAAGCAATTGAAGTAGCTCGTCAAACGATGCTATCTACATGCGATAGTAACAAAAAAAAAAAAACTCCGAACTATGGTTTCGCATGTGCTCGTAAAAGGTTTGGAACACAAATGGTTTATCGGTTATGAAATGATGGACCCAATGATTTCGGTTTGCCTTAGGCTCTAGCTCACCACACGCTTCTAATGCACAAACTAACATACGTGTTTCTTCCATGACTACAACGAGAACAGAACGAGTGAATTAAACCATGTTATAATCTCAGTACGTAGGCTGGGAAACCTCAACCGGAAGCGGTTCATCCGCTCCGTGTGGCCGGGACATCGTCGCGCGGGATCATAAGCCGCGCGGACGATCCGCCACGTGTGGCCCCGGCCTTAAAAACACTTCTATAGACACATACATCAACATTGAATGGTAAAACTGTCTATATATGACTCGTACACAGCCATCGATGTCGGATTTATATGCGTTTTTGCGCCAAATTAGGTTGTTTTGTACGATTTTCTAGTTTCTTGACGTGATCCTTTGAGTAAAGCATATCGAATTTGGTATTTTTGTAAAGCTCGTTTAACGTGCTACAACTTTGTCTTTAAGTTATTTCTGATATATTGTATCAATAAAACGTTATCGAAAAAAATAACACAAAAATGTTTAAAAATATAGGTTTTTGCAAAATTACGAAAAATGTACGTATACAACAAAAGTGTAAACGTAAGAAAGATAGCATGTAAACTTATCTTTCAAACAAAAAAAAGTTCATTCCGATCCGATACATGGTATGTAAAATATAGTTATTTTTAATATAGCCCTTTCCGGCATTTTAATGACGTCATAACCGGAAACTGCAGTGGGTGCAGACGTGACACCCGAGTTGAAAACACTTATTTAGACACATAAATCAACACTGAATGGTAAAACTGTCTTTATAAGACTTGCGAACTGCCCTAGATGCCGGACTAATAGGCGTTTTTGCGCCAAAATTGGTGTTTTTATGAGATTTATCTAGTTTCTTGACGAATCTTTTGAGTAAAACATATCGAATTTGGTATTTTTGTAAAGATTTTTAAACGTTCTACAACTTTTTTCATTGGTGGTTTTTGATAAATTGTATCAATAAAACGTTACAAACAAAAATAACACAAAAATATTTAAAAATACA